TATTACCAATAAATTTTATTAAATAGTTTTCACATTTTTATCAGTATAATAAATTTATATCAATATTTAAAAAAAATATAATTTTAGTAATTATTGATTGTATGAATATTCACAATTTTTAGCAAAATTTTGTCCATAACGATAAATGCATTACTAAGATATTCATGCTTTTGTCATTTATATTTATATATAAAACAATAAAGTTAATACATATTTTAAAAAGTTAATTACGTTTAGTATGTTTTTAGTAAAATCGAACATCGTTGCCTGTTACTGTGTAATCATAAATTTATATTTTGCTTTTCGCCTGAATAATGATACCGATTGAACTATAACTGTTTTTTACTCCAACACATGTACACAGTTTTTATTAAGTACTTGATATTTATATATATTTCGTTGTAAAAATACTATGGATATCAAATCGTCATGCATAAAGCTGTGACCGAAAAAAATAAATTTTTAATTTTTTTACTGAAAATCAATTTTGTTGAAGTATTTATTTATATATTTTCAAAAAATTTGAATCCATGTTCAGCGTTCACTTATCTGAGGAAAATCTATATTCTAAATAATCAGAGTAGTTATATTAATATAAAATAATTTTTAAATATTTTAATTATATAATTATAAATTATATAAAATTATTTTCACTGGTATTATGAAAATACAATTAACTTGGGTTAGTTTTTAATTTATAATTTTGTTAAACGATTTTTTTTTCTTTAAATACTACTTTTCGATTTTAAATTGAATAGCTATATTAAAAACTTTCGTGATACTTAGTTTATTTTATAATTTAAAGTAATTGTTACTTTACTTTCCAACTGTTACAGATCACATGAGAGGAGTTTCAATAAAACTATTTTATTGTGAATCACTAAAAATATGAATGATCATATTAAACATTATAAATAATTTTTAGTAAATATTAATATAATCTGAAATTAATCAAAGACCATAATAATTATTTGAACTATAAATCGTTTCGACAGTTGGGAATTAAGGTAAGGAAATATATATATTTATAATAAAATAAATATATTCATTATAAAAAATGTAATATCGATTTTTATTTTTCGTAATTGTAAAAAATATAGTTTACTTTACACTAAAAGAATTAACAAAATAAAAAATTTAAGAAAAACATCACATTAAAAAATTTCGAACAACAAAGAACGTATTTTGAATATTGATTAAATTTAGTTTATTTAATACTAAAATCGAAATATATTATATATATTGACATGTACAATTTAATACATACATTTCGTTAAATTTCTTTTATATTTAAGAAATATAAGAGCAATTACATATAATTAAAAGGAGAAAATCAAAACCATGTTAATGTATTTCCATTTTGTTAATTTCGGATTTGTTATTGAAATATATCTTAATAGATAACATATATAATTTTAGACTAATATGAACGAATATACTTTCCAATACGGTTATATGTATTTATTAATGTCTACGGGTTTTCATATCTCTAAGACCAAACTTTGTATCAATTAATAAGAAATTAATCTACAAAAATCAGAGTTTGATATTCGTAAATAAAAAGAATTTATTATTATAAAGTAAAAATAAAATCTCTTATTAATATAAAAAATAGTTATGTACGAAATACAAATGTATGAATAATGAATTTTAAATATTTATAGTTAGTTTCTATAAACAAAATATTTTATTAAATAAAGCAAAAATTATTATATCTTATTCGCATGTAATTTTGAGAAAATTTTTTATAAAAATATGACACTCGTCACGTCCTATTTGCATAGTGTTATTTATGGATTAATTAGGTAGCCATTTTTTTTAATTAATATAAATTATTCATTTTTGGTAGTATTTTATATATAATATAGAATAAATGTTTTAATAAATATTACATTTTAATAAGTATAAATAAATTTTATTTCTTTATTTATTGTTATAAATGTATACTTATAATAATAATTATTATTTCCTAATCGAATATTTATTAATTTAAACATAAAATAAAAATGTAGTGTTTGAAATATATGTATAAATTATTAGTAATTTAATTTGGATGACAACTGAACCAGAATAGTTATCGAAATCAATATATATCAAATATCAATATACCTTTTATACAATAGGTTGTATAAAAGCAATATACAGGGAAATAAGAGAAAATCAATTGAAAGAGGGATTCGTGGAAAATGAATAAGTAACTTCTCAAATACCTACTCTTGCACATAAGAAACTAAAATTATATATATGCATTAAATAAAATTAAAAGAAGGATAGTGAAAACAAAAGTCATAATACAGTGGAAATAATTTAATTTATAATGTAAATGTGCTAGAAATTTTCTATTTAATTATAGAAACTATAAAAATTATTAAAACTATTAAATTTAAAAACTATTCAAAATGAATATATAAATAATATAAGTTTAATCTATGCATATATATTTATGATTTAATATTTATATAATGAAGGTATTTTTTAAATATATCAAAGCATTAAAAGAAAAACATAAAAAGAAAAATTTAGAATAAATTTATAAGTCTGTAGATATATTGATTCTTCTTAGTGGTGAAGCATTATTTGAATATATTTAGAAAAAATGATATACAAGAGTAATTTTGTAAAGTAGTACAATTCATGGTTAATATATATTAAAAGTTAAAATTTTAATATATAATTTTAATAATATAATTTTAATAATTTCAATAATGCAAAGTGTTTATTATGTATTGTAAATGAAAAAGTACGCTATAGATGTTTAAAAAAAACAGGTGAATTCTTGCTTTATGTTTATCTTTTATCAATGTAATATATACATATATGTGTGTGCGTAGGTGTGTGTGTGCGTGTGTGTGTGTATGCGTGTGTGTATGTATGTATATGTGTGAATATGTATACTTACTAATATCATATACTATAATCTTCATATCAATATGTTATTTATAAAAGTACGTATAAAGTGAAAGAGTCCAAAAATGAGAATATTGGAATCTATAACTAAATAATGTTATTAGAATTTGTTTTATATCAGACGATGTTACATCTGCAATAAGGCATTTAAGACTTGAGTTAGAAGAGGAAAAATGAGAAGAAATAAAACCATCATTACGTCAACAGTAAGTTAAAATTGTACTGATGGTCAATCATACTCAATTTTTTATAATCGATATGGTGTAATGATGATCTGTTGTCAATATTAACGGACCATAATATTTTTAATGAATTATGCAATATTCATAATTAATGGTAATGCTATAATTTTCCACCATTTTTTAAATTTTTAATTGATGAATTAGATTGACTTTTCTTTCTGTCTCTCCTTAGAATACATCATTATTGTGCAAATTATTATTTATATATGTCCCAATGTAAGGTATCTGCATGCAATAATAATATATGATACGTATATATAAAGAGTTATATAATAAATTTGGTATATTCAAATGCATTAACTATTATCTGCAAAAATATATTTCATAGAAAAATTATATGAATGTATATTGATTCTTGTCTCATTTATTATTAAGATTGGTTATATAACCAACTTTTTGTAGTGTCACTTTATGTATAGATAAATATATTTCTAACATTTACGTATAAATTGAATTTTGTTCTGTATTAGTAATAAATGAGTTTATTAAAATGAGCGCATTGAAATAATAAAAGAAAGGTGTGATATAAGTTGTAAACGATACATACAGTAACTTAATTATCTGATAAATATTTAATAATCACGATGTGATTATATAGGCTTATATAAGTAAAAATTAGTTGGTAGTTTTAATAAATTAGAAAGTTGTGTTAATATATCGCTTAATTAACACACATTTTTTAATAAGAAAATATTTGTTCTTGTGAACTCATATGTATCATTGTTGTTTATATTATGTTAGGTTTATCATTTAATTTAATTCGACATAATTAAAATTTCATTCAAAGCACGAGTTAATTACAATCAATATATGTATTCATATAATTAAATATGTAAGCAGTAATTATAAAAATACTTATTATTAATTTTATATTTTCAAATAGTATAGGATTAATTTTAATTTTTATTTTAATAATTTTAATATTTGTTTTTATGTCTATTTATAGTAATTCATTATTTTAAAAGGAACAAAAAAAAAGGGGCTCGAACGATTCAGCAATCTTACTCATTTAAAAACTATAATTTATCATATTATTTTTAATGAATGTTACTATGCGATTTATGCCGAAGATGAAAATAAATAATTGAAAATATCTGTAAATATTTGAATTTGGATATTATTTTGTACAATAAATATCAATATTTATATCCTTATGTACAATTGACATACAAATGTAAGTGAAGACTAAAGCATTATTTAAAGCTAAATGTTTATATTTGAAAATAAATTAATTAATTTTGTAACAGGTTTAAAAAATAGTTTATAGTCTATAATAGTTGAAATGGATATATTTGATCTTAATAAAAAATATTTGGTACACTTTTAAATATATTTTTAATATAATTTTGGAAGTAATATACTAGACACGTTCTTAACATGGGCGAAAAGATAATTTAACTGAAATAGTCTTATGAAATTTATGTTATAGTATAATTTTTTTCATTACTATATTTAGTTTCAAATATTTTACATTTAAAATGTATATATTGTCCTGTAGGCTTATGTATCCAATACTTAGATACACTAATTTTAGAAATTCACAAATTATATAAAAAATGGATACTTTACAATAAATATTGAATAAATTAAAAGTAGGAGAAAAAACATTTATGTTCATGGATAATTTTTTTTTATATTGTTGTAATCATAAAGTAAAATAATTTTGATTAATAATTAAGAATATATTAATTTATGTATAAAATATTAATTTTATGTAATCAATTTATTTATATAACATCAATTTGCGATATAATTTAATTATTTTAATTAAATAATTTTTATTTTACTGATAAAATGTTTTAATAAAAAATGTATATAATTTCTATATTTATAAATTTGAATTTGTTTCAGGATGCAAAAGTTTCTTTAAAAGAAGTGTCAGAAGAAATCTAACGTATTCTTGTAGAGGTAATCGTAATTGTCCTATAGATCAGCATCACAGAAATCAATGTCAATATTGTCGACTTAAAAAGTGTCTCAAAATGGGTATGCGGCGAGAAGGTATGTAATAATAATTAATCTTCTCGTATATTTATTTGACTATCGATATTGGATCATTATTTATTACATTATTCATTATTTAAATTGAAATTTATAGGTGTAATTATAAAATTAGAAACTTATACTTTCGCAAATTTTGTAAATATATTATTCAAATTATATCTATAAATGTTACACTATAGAATGAATATTACCAGGTTTATTTCCAATTTAGAAATTAAATGAACAATAATAATTTATTTCTTAATTTCGTTCTAATATTTTTGTCATTTTTATGTTCTAACTTTTAAACAACCGACTCAGTTTTTAATAAAAAAAAACGCATACAAATAGTAAATTATTAAATGATTAATTTGCAAACTTAAAATTAGTCTCTTTAGATTCATAGATGCTATTTATTTAATTTCTTTACCAACATTTCGTGCATTTAAAACCTTGTGGTTAACAGTATTATTTTATACTACTCGTTGACAATTGTTATTTTTCAAGTGTCCGGTGTTTTATTTTATTTCATTAGTTTACTCCTTTTGTTCAATACCCCGTAAAGGAAGTTTACTAATAATTACTTTCTTGATATTATAGCATTACAATGCTTTGTATAACTATACTTCAATATCACCAAATATATCCTGCACTGTTGTAACTGCTAGCCTTATATATTGCTCTTTTAAATCTGATCAATCGAAATAATTATACGTACAATTTTCATTGCGAAAGTTTATCTACTGTGCTTCGCTGATCTATAATGTTTCTTTGTGTATCATACTCCTTTAGATATACTTTTACTACATAACAAATTATATAAAACATTCATGATGTTTTCTTTGTATTATAACATGTTTGCCAGTCTACTGTACTAGTTGAAAGTATAAATTATATATTACTGCATTTCTTTTCTTTTCTATAACAAAATTTTACGTCTAATATAAAAATCATAAATTTATTTCAAGATACATAATATTAAAGAAACACTTATAATTAGTATTTTCTTATCATGTTTTTCAAAATACCTTTTTAATTATCATTTACGTATATAATGAAATACACATATATATATAAGAAAATCTTTTTCATATTTGATTGTATTAATTTGATTGTATTAATAATGCAAGTACTGATATGATTGCCTACGGATTAGTAAATAAAAATTAGAGTTAAAGATTTATTATAAGTCTTATAAAATCTTATTTATATTAAAAGATGCAATTTTAGAGGTTATATCAAGAATTTCTACCTAACTAATGAATATTTAATTTATGAATACAATTGGTAAGTCATGTATATTCGTAATAGTAGCTATATATTTGGTATTAAATTAGAAGCCATAAATATAAAACATGTTACATATTTAATAACGATACCTGCAATATAAATATTAAAATTATTTTAAATGAAAGAATCATAAAAAAAGTTTTTTATAATTATGAGATATATTTAGTTTATATTCTAATTTTGTATATTAAGAAAATATTATTTTTATAGAAATATAGAAAATATGTAAGAAATTATTTTTTTATTTGAATTATATATAGTAATTTTATATATGTTCATAATATCTTTTCTCTCTCTGTTTCAACAGAGAAAATCTAAAGTTACTACTATATAGCAGGATCAATCATTGTGTGAATAATATAGAAATATAAATTTAACATATATTGGATTTCATTTGAATGAAAATATTATCCTTTATATAGACAGTAAAATTAAAACCAGCTATTAAAAAATGATGTTTCGTTTAATACACTAATCCACATATTTATGAGTGTCATAGAAAAAATTAATACATATATTCTCAAGCAAATTCAAGCAAAAATTATTAGAATAAAAGGTAACTTCATGGATGACAAATAATAATATCATATCAAACATTGTTACTGACCTTTGAATAATTTAAAAATATTAACATATCGTTGGAAAAGGTATATTGTTCTTGTTAGAAAAAAACTATGTCGAAGAATAAAATTACTTAATTATATACTAATATAACTTTTAAAGTTTTTTATTGTTAGTCTTAAAATAGCAAAATTATGCAGTATATTTTTTAAATTGATGTATAATACTTTTCATAAATACTTAAATATCAAAAAATTAATTTTGAAATTTATGTAATTAAAAATTTTTAGACTATATTTGAAGTATATAGAAATATTTTATGAATACGTGTTCATTGTAAATATTTATTTAAATAATCTTTTAAAAAAAAATTTATTAATTATAATTCACTGAATTACAAATGCTAGGTAATTAATATATTCACATGCATATTAACACATTAATACATACTTATATATTTATTAAACAATTTGATATGGTACAGATGCAAACGTATTTTAATAAAATAATTTACAAACTCAGTTTAGTGGAATTGGAAATAATTCTAATATTAATTGAATTATACTGCTTTATTCTCTTACTTAAAAGATATTCCATATACAACTCCTTATTAATCTTTGTACTTTTTGTTTATAATAATGAACTGGAGCTTGAAATTTGAGCAAAATCAATAAATGTTGTTTTCAGACGCTTAGATGACCCTTGATGTAAAGAATATTTTGTGATGTTATATTTTACAACATAAAGAATATATTTATTAATCAATTGATTCAAAATTTCATATATTTTTTAATAAACCAATTTTTAGGGGCAATAATAAAAAACTTTATAATTATATAACTAAAATTACTATAAAACTAATATTTAATTTATATCATCGTTTAAGAAATATAAGAAAATTTTATATATAAGAGAAGTTATATGCGATAATACAAATAATTAAATTATAAAATATAATGCATTGATATATATATATATCAATATATTGTAATTAACTATTTGAAAATGATTTCAAAAATAAATTTTTCGTAAAGCGATTTTATTTTTATATTTCATATTTTTTATCTCAGCTAGAAGAAATAAGTCTTCGTAAAGATAATATAAAAAAGCGCAAAATAATAAATATTAATTGTTAATAAAAAAGGAAGAATTGAAAAATATTTTCAAGAAAAATGTTCTTAAAGTTGAATTATAATTGAAAATAGAAGATCTCTAATTCTATAAGAGATTTGAGATCAAATCAAAGTGAATTGAAGTGTCAAAATGTGTAAGAAAAATATACAAGTAAAGTTGGTATTTCCAAACATTTCCAAAGGGATAGAAGTTTGACATAATTAGATGGCTTATAGTGAAAAAAGAAGCATGAATATATATCAATGGATAATTTGTGATAAATATTTAGATAATATAATATAATATATTTAGTTAAGGTACGTTTTTTTCATTCTGTGAACTTTGTAGCTCAATAATTTATGTTAAAATATAAGCTACAGTGAAAATAATTAAGGTTCGCTCTACCTTCATGTACATTATAAATAAAAGAAAGAATCCACTACAAAGACTGTTCTTTTATTGTTTAACTTTAAAAACGCCTCAGAAACTACTGTTTAAAGAAGATTTACATTATTTCTCTTTAATTCATTATAATATTAATTAATAATATATCTTATTAGTAAGTTATTATTAATAATAATTTCAATTAATAATTTATCTTAATGATAATTTTATATTAATAATAAAATCAATTGATCATTTTTTAAATGTTTCTAATATTTTCAATAAAGTAGAAAAACTGAACTACTTATCAATGTAGGAATTATTGTATATTTTATTAAACATTTAGTATCATTTATTTTTATTTATTTTTTGTTGTTAAACTTTTGTTAATTTCAACATATTTTTAAAATAAAAACAGTATATTATATTTTTATAAAATCAATTATTGATGAATTCTATAATTAAAAATATTCTATAAATTAAAATTTTTTCAAACATATATATTGTATCAGATTTTGTGCTATTTAAATAAATTGGATCTAGTCTATATGCTATGAAAATATTTATATTTTTAATTACATATATTGTAATATAGCCTTAAATATATCATATTTTTTTATTAATTTTATTTTGTATAACTAATTTTTACTTTTTAAATAGATTTTTCATTAAAATATATTGTGGTTATGAAAAATTATTAATTAATTTTATAATTAACATTGTTCGTAATTAACAACATATTAATTTTTTAAACCAAAGTTCATCAAATTATAGACATGTAGCACAATTTATAAAAACAAAATATTTATATTATATTATAATTACTGACTACATCAATATATTTGATAATTTCAAAAAGGTTCAAATCATGTTATGTGATACAAAATCATGTTATGTAAAACTTACAATAGACACTGGAATATACTATATTTCAATGTTATTTAAAATATTCTATTTTAAATTAAATTTTATAATAAAAAGTGCATATTACATAATCGTTTTTAATATTAGCATTTGTTTGTAACAATAGTATTTGTTGATTTTTATTTCATTGAATGTTAATCAATTAAATTATTATATTTCTAGTAATTTAAGGCTAATATAGTTATTCAATATGCTAATATTTCATATCTTTAAAGTTATCGTTAAATTTCGAAGATTTTTGGTTTTCAAAATATGATATTTGTGATATTGATTGTGATATGATATTTAAAAAATTTGTGAAAAAGAAAAAATTTATATAATATGCAAATGTTTAACTTTAAATTATTGGCATTGTAATTTAAAATATTTTTTTTATTTAACAAATAGTTCATTATTATTAAATTTATTTTGCAAAATAAACATTAATTTTATTTGATATGTGTGATTATTCGATAAAATAAAAAAATTTATTATTACTTGCCAAATAATAAAATAGTATTCAAATAGTAATTAAAATGAAAAAAATGTTTTTTTTTAAATTAATAAATACTTAAAATTATTTATTAAAAGTAAAATAAAAATAGGAAATTGTCTGTACGAATTTTTTATACAATTTTAGACAATCTTTTATATAATATATAGATGTTTATATTAAGTTGCATATATTATGAACAATTTCTTTGTAAAAATGTATCATTGAAAATAAAGAAAAAACTTAATAATATGGGTACTATCAAGTATTACATTTACTACATTGATATTACTTATTAGAATATATTACTTATATAGAATACAATGAACAGTGGTATATTTTAAATAGCAATATACTATCAACTGAATGTAGTATTCAAAAAGCTATGTAGAGTATATTCTGTCTAACTGAGGGTCAAACCTGCAGTTAAAGTTGTAAGCCCCATAGAAGGAGAAGATTCCAAAGGCGAGGTCATGAACCCTGTTGACCTCGGATCAAACATTATCTTAATATTTCTTTTTCATAGTACAATCTGTATTTTTTATTGAAAAGCGAGAGTGCATCTCCGTGTAAGTGTATCTATTCAGAATGTTAAAATGCATACGCAGTATTATATATTGCAAATATATTACTAATTTATTGCTTTGTAATGAATACTTAAAAATAAAAACATAAATGCATAATATAATTGAAATATATTTCATTTTTAAATTTTAATAATCAAAGATAAACATTTATATTGATTTTTTCAATCAAAGAAACATGCACAAAATTATAAATTAAAAAATTTTAAATATATCCAAAGTTTATTACTTGTCAATATTTAACTTTATATAATTATACGTATTTTTATAAATCATTAAAATTAAAAAAAGATTCCAATAATATATTTTTGATAGGAAAATTAATTTAATATTTATACCGCATCATTTACTGGTTGTTAAATTTACGATCTTCTTTATAATATATTTTCATTACTTTTAAATATAAAAAATTGTTTTATTAATAATTTTAAGTAAATTTTTATTGATAAATGCAAATGAACGTTTATAGATTATTAAAATAAAAGTTTACAACACTAATAAATAAAAAAATGTTTACTATTTGACAAGTACATGATTTGTATTACAATTTAACAGTGCGTTATCTTAAAAGATAATTTATTGAAAAAAAAATTAAGAAAATCAATAAAATATATATTAGTTAAGAAATAAATAAATCTATGAAAAGTAAAATGATTACTATATTACTAAAGTTAATTCTGTAAAATGATAAATATTTTAATTTTTTTTATAATATAAAGTTTTGAATTAAGATTTAAGACTTTTAAAATATAGTTTAGAAATTTGTTTTAAAAGTAGCCAACTAACGTCTATAGAAATGTTGCTTTATATTATTAGTGATTATAATTAAGATATCAAATATGTAAAAGCAACGTGATAAGTATTTATGATTATTCGGTAATCTTAAAGAAAGATTCATTATATTTATAATTATCACCAATTATTAATTTTCATGATTTTGTTCTTAAATTTTTGAATTCAAATTGTTATAAATCTATGGTAGAATTTCGATGAACCATAGGCATATGACTAAAATAATGGGTACAAAAAGTTTTCTAATACAATGGATTTTTAATGTTTTTAATTTAATATAATAATATTTTTAATAAATTTTAATATAATACGACGTTGAAAACGTAGTTTGTAATAAAATATTGTAAACATTTATAAATTTTTTGAGAAAAGATATTTATTCAGTTACTCTCATATACTATATAATACTATTTTTTTAAAAAAACCTTATGAAGCAAGTTTTTTCTTTTCTACATGAGATTATAATCTCATCAAATTTAATTGGCTAATTTATTGCTTATCGAAAATAATACATTAAATTAATCAAGCTCATTTGTTACAAAAACAGATTTACCAAATCACTATAGTTTTAACTTTCTTTATATATATATAAATATAATAAATTAGAATTAAAATACGAATTAAAGGATTGCATTACTATCTTATATAGTGAAGCCATAGTATTTTCTAAATTAATTTCTGATTTTATATATTAATTTACTAATATTTTGTTACCTGATGTTTTTGCAAATTGTAAAATAAATATGTTATGCAATTATGTATTTATTACAGAAATTAAAGCACAACAAGCTACACAAATACAAGCACACACAAGTTATTTAAAAGTCTTTACATTCATTTTTTTTTGAAAGATGAAAACATTTTGTTGTAATTTAATAAAAAAAAATAGTTAATAGTGTTTTGAAAAAATATAAAACTGTAAAATTTATTATTATTCCGGAGATATGGAATGTATTAAAATTGATGCATAAGTATATTAATATTATATTTTATAGTACAAGAATATTTTATAATACAAGAATTTTCATTAATATAATAACGTGTTTCACAGGTATTGAAATTAACATTTGAAAACTTGTTTTAAAAATCCTCTGTAGATAAGATACTGTTATAACTTCAGTAAGGATATTAACAGTCATCATTTTTATGTTTAGAAGTAATGTACTGTATTGTTAAAATAATTTTACATTGAAATTATATTACGAAGTTCAAGATCTTAAAATAATAATTTACAACATTTTTTTGAAGCTAATAAATAAATATAGTAATATCGATTTAATTAATTTAATTATATAATTTTTTTTATATGTTATTAAAATATTTTATATTTAGAATATATAAAAAAATTTAATTAAAAGCCAAATAAAACAAATAAAATTAAATGTGAAATATTAAAAATTGTACCAATTTATACAAATAAACATTTTCCTTATTAACAAATTGAATTTCTCATACAAGTCAGGTAGTACACTACTAATGACATTAGAATGTTGTAGAGCGATAAATATAAATACAATTTATTGTTTTTGTTAATGATAGTGTATTTAAAATTGTCTTCAATTTCATAACTCGTAAGTGATCTTTATTAATTCAAGAGAATTTTATTTATAGTGTCATTAGTTTTACCCAATTACGAAAAATATTATGAAAAATTACTTGCAATTAAGTATATACTATAAAATTTATAATAAACTATAAAAAGCTATAACAAGATTTTTCTGAAGAATATGGAATTCCATTTCTAAATCTGATTTTTGCACTGCTTGTGCGTTGCTTATCTACGATCCGGTGGTACTTAGTTCAATTACATTATGTTAATTTTCCTTTACATTTATTGTTCTCTTTTTCTTCTATAATATAAGTACATTAACAGCTATATGTGATTTTTACATGCCAAAAATGTAATGATAATAAAAATGATGACGATAACGATAACGACAACGATAAAAGATAACAGAACAAAAGAGAAAATTCACGGAAGTCCATTCTTTACAAAATTAATAATCTATCACTTACATATTATCAATTTTTTTATGATTCATCTTGCATATAATTTTATGCGACTTTTCTTAAATGCAGAAAACTTTACAGAAATTTATTCACATATAATACAAATTTTCGGATTATAATATCAGTCAAGTTTTAATTTGTAAATATCAACGCTGAAATTTGTTGGTATTTATAATTTACTTTTATAAGTTTTTTATATTCATTTATTTATGTCGTAATATTTTGTAATATGGTTTTATTTTTTAAATTAATAGTTTGATTTAAAATCTTATTTATTTGTTAGTTACTTTATTTTTCATAAAAAAATGATTGAATTCACTACTAAATATAGATTCTTGAAAAAATTAAAAAATTATAATTTTTTTTAGTATTGTTTTTTATCGGTGATTACTATCTTATAATCCTTTTTCAATACAAATCAGTGTATTAATATGGATTCATGAATAATATTATAGGCTTACAAGATTATTTACTTGTAATAATAATTATTAAAAAATTATTATTCTATTTTAATTTTATGATAATAAAAATATTATACATAATTGTTTAATGTTATGATAAAATACTATAGAATAATTTACTTTCTTTAGAAATTGAATAAAACCTAGTTATATATTTTTATAAATATGTTAGAAAAAAGATAATTTTCTTTTTTCTTTTGTGTATAACGGATAATGTAGCAACAACTTCGACTACAATATATCAGCTGAGGAATCGACAGTCAAGTTACATTTATTGTTAAATTAATCGTTCGTGATAAAGGACTTTTAGAATGTCACAAGTAAAAACGAAACAATATACTCTAGCTAATATATTCTAGGTCATGCATTTCTTCTTCGAATTTCATTTGGAAGATATTGTATATCAATATTCATGGCGTAATATGCCATGATTTGAAAAAGTGCAGGAAGTGGATGAAGAATAAAGTTGTGTAAAGTTTGAATATAATGAATAAAGTAGAACAATGAGATAATTCTAAGCTTGAAATATATGAATTTTAAATGTATAATTCAAGATCATCAAGAAAATACTAGTAAGAGTATTTTATTCAAAAAACGTTTGTAATCGAAGAAAATTTAATTCTTGACTTATTTTCTTTAAAACTAATATGTAACAGGATGCATCTGTGATTTTGTCATATATTTTGCGGTATTATGAATTCCAATATTACATCTTTTTTCAAACAGTCTTACGAATTAGCAATTAATACTTATAAAGAATTTGATGAAGTGCGATGTTAGTAGCATGCAACTTATATCAGTTCTCAACTCTTTTCAGACTATTTTCATACTTGGTTTCTCATTTGTGGAGTATAATAAGCCTTCATTATATTTTTTGCCGTTTCATTGGTGGAATCAATTCATCTTCAATTTACTACGCTACAAGATTTAGTAAGTATTATATGACCAGCGTTTTGTAATCGACAAATTAGATATTTTTTCTATGAATACATTTTTCAAAATATTCAAAATACATATATGCATAGTACTGAATACTAGGATATTAAATGAATATAATTTATATATACTTATATGATTGAAAATATATATGTTCAGAGACAGCACCTGCTGTATACCCGTTAACCCATATAAAAAATGATTAGCTCTATTAATTGTGACTGTTAGGATCTTCGGCCTTCAAACAAATTTTATAATGTAACTAATGTTAATTAATTTATAAAATTAAATGTTTATTGATTATTTTATAAATTAATACACTTATATTAATATAATTAAATTATCTGAATTTTATTAAATTAATAATAGAAATGGTATCTGTTTCTATTTTAGCTGTTCAAAGAGGGCGGGTTCCGCCGACACAACCTAATCTTCCGGGATTATCAGGACAATTTTCTCTAATAAATGGGGATACAGTTTCATGTTCTAATATAAATGGACATTCATATTTATCTTCATATATAAGTTTATTATTAAGAGCAGAACCATATGCAACTTCAAGATATAACCAAGGCATGCAATCAAATAATATAATGGGTATTGATAGTATATGTGAACTTGCAGCAAGACTATTATTTTCAGCTGTAGAATGGGCAAGAAATATTCCATTTTTTCCTGATTTACAAGTCACCGATCAAGTAGCGCTTTTAAGACTAGTATGGAGTGAACTATTTGTGTTAAATGCAAGTCAGTGTTCGATGCCACTTCATGTAGCACCTCTTTTAGCAGCTGCAGGTCTACATGCATCACCGATGGCAGCTGATCGAGTAGTAGCTTTCATGGATCATATTAGGATTTTTCAGGAACAAGTGGAAAAATTAAAAGTCTTACATGTAGATTCAGCAGAATATAGTTGTCTAAAAGCAATCGTTCTATTTACTACAGGTTAGTATTTTTATATTTAACTTCGCATTCATTTTATTTTATTTGCATGTTATATTATTATAGAAGTACATTGCGATAAAAATTAACTACATAAAACAAGTAGTATAGGCAAATAACAACTTATAAACTTATAATAATTGTTTTAATAATTATCTAAACATGACATATTTTATTTATATCTTCAAACTTGCAATTTTTATTTAATCAGTGCAATTTTATTTAAATATTACATGCTCATTTTATTTTATTTCTTAAATAAAAATAAATATTTGACTTGTATAACTAAAAGCAATTTATTAGATGCAATATTAAGATACAATAAATTTGATATATTTTAATTTACATTCACCTATTATTACAATATTATATATAATTTTATTAAAGTAATTATACCAGTATCGATTCGTATTAAAAATGAATGAATGAAAAAATAAAATTGATTTAATTATAAATTGAACATGAATTTGTATTCCATTAATCGTGGTTGCTACTAATCTCTGAATTTTGTTTATTATTAAGTATTATATCTTGTTGTATCTTGTTTATATCTTGATATTATATCTTGATTATATCTTGATATTATATCTTGATATAATAATAAGTATTATATCCTGAAGTATTATAGAAGCATTATAAATATAAAATATAAACTAAGATATATATATTCTTTTGATATTGAATTAGATTATAAATTATAATTTAATCTGGAATTATTGAATGTAATTGAATTTTTTACATATATTTCTGATATTTGATTAGGGTTTATTAATTATATAACAACGGTGGCAACTGGCTTTTCTGAACACCAATTTACATATGATGCTTTTATCATAATAATTAAATTAACTTAAAATTAATTAAATTAAAATATGATTTATCTAATAAATAAATCTTACGAATCTCATAAAATATAGATAATTTTTATCTTATTTCTGATTTGATTAAATTATAAAAATATAGCTACTAATAATATAAAAGAAACATTTAAATTTTGGATATGTAAATTAAGAGCATTATTAATAATAAATTATGCATTATTAAAAGGATAGTGGAGATATATATTTATTGAAATATTAATAATTGGAAATCAACTTATCTTTTCCTAAATAAATCAATCTATCTTTATATAAAAAAAATAATGTAAAAGAATACACACAAAGGAGAAAAAACTGTTTTAAATAGTCAGTAAGCATAACAAAATCGTTCTATAAAAAATATATGTGGATATCAAGAATAATATTTTCCTTTTTATTTATTTAAACGTAATAATTGACGAAATTTACAATATAGTTAAAAATATTTTCGAGTTATGAAAGTTATGAAAGTTCTTTTATAATAATTGTTGCATTCATTTATTATATATGAATACGCTTCATTTGTTGATTATAAGGCTTTGTTATAACTGTATGAAGTATATCATTAAAGAAAAAATTTCAATACTACAACCGAACTCTATTACTGTTAATTCTATTCTGCGACCATCTTTATCTTTTTCTACAATAACTTTTAATTATTTAAACTTTTCTATACAGTTAATTATAGAATCCATTTTTAATTTATTTTTAATATATACTATTCGCCATAGATAATTATCCTTTCGCTAGTCTATGATATTTTTCGAAAATTTTAAAAAGTCGATAGCTATTATGATCATATTATTATTGTATCGTAAGATACATGCCCAATGTTTCAGTGTGTCTACTTTAAACGTTTAAAAATTTAATATTTAACAATAACGCATGGAAAATTGATCACATGAATATATATATATAAGTTTCAAATATATATTTACAAGCTTATATTGAAGACAAGCTCAGTTTCTTGTACATTTTTTCGTTATCATTTCTTATGCATAGAAATAAACTTAATGTATTTAAGATGTAAATACCAGTAATGTAACAAACACACTTACAAGCTGTTTCAATTTGGATTTAATTTATTCTTTCGCAATATCTAATAAAAACTGTTTACGTTTAGTGAAATATTATAATTAATAGTTTTATTAAATAATCATGGCTTTTCAAAGTTTTATCAGTCAAATCTATTAATTTTCAGAGTCTGAAGTTTACGGTTAAATCTGTGGTTTCATTAATACAAACATAAATAATTAATATAAACATCATAAATTTAGACAAAGAAGGATGTTACGAAGTCTGTTCTGGTATGATACGTGTAGAACCTTTTTAAAACGATTGAAAATAACTTTTAAATTTTTGTAAAAGTTGAACATTTACGTGTTCGATTTGTAGTTGAAATTAGAATTTTATTCAGTATTTTATGGCATATTCATACACAAGTTCAAAATTTTCGTTTCTTCTTTATTTCATAAATATAAATTTTATTGGTTAATTCATGAAAATATAAAATATATATATATATATATATATATTAAAATTAAATGTAATGAATCAATGAATAAATTACAAATAAATAAAAATAAATAAAAAATAATATTTGACTAAATATTTAAGATATAATATGTAATAATATTTTATAATATTTTTGTATTCGCGGATTTTTATCTCAATAAAATTGAATTCGTGATTCGTAATATAAATAAAAATTAAATGTAACTAGTTGTGTCTATGACTAGACAAAGAGAGTTAGATAGATAGATAGATAGAGAGAGAGAGAGAAATGTTTAATACTAAATTTCTGTAAATAAATTTGAAATGCAATGTTTTCATTAATTAAGAATAGAAAAGTATGAATATAATCAGAATACTTAGAATAATTAAATTTGTATAAAAATAATTTAATTTCTATTTTATATATCAGCAAAATTTATATTTAGAAATTTCTTTGTATTTACAATGTTAAATATAAACAAAAGGACGTAAGGAAAATATGACATAAAAAAATTAACAAAAATAATTATTTTAAATAAAACGAACAATGTTTATAATGAATTATATATGAAAAAAGGTAATACTAACTACAAATGATTAAAATACTATTCTATAAAAAACATGAATAACCTTAATAATTGTATTGCAATTAATTCTCTTAATTGTATTTGCAATTGACACTAATATATCTACATATAAATCTTCATATTGGATTGATCTTAATTCTAATATATCACTGACTTAGATAATCGTCGACTTTAAAACCATTAATATAATGGAAAATTGAAAATATATTATGAAACACGAAGATTTAGTTAACATAAAACAAAAATTCTTAGAAATAAGCGATTATAAAATATGTATATTAAAAATAAATAAAATTAAAATTACATTATTTGGAACTATACAATAGTTTATAATACAATTATTTAAAATTAATAATCCTTCAAAATTATAAGTATAATATATATTCCTATAAGACGAAACTAATATAATAAATTTAATAATAGGATTAATTAATAAAAACAATAAAATTTTAATAAAAATAATATAAAATTTTATATAATTGAGATATTTTTTTAAATGTAATAAATGTTTTAGCAAAAGATTAAGTGATATAGAATTATTTATCATAAATATAATAAGTATTATAATAAAATTAATAGAAAATAGTTTAAATTAAAGCAGATTTGAAAATTTCGACCCTTCTGTATTATTATAACAATAGAAGATAAAGTATAAAAGGAGAATATATATAGTAACTAGTTCTTGGATAACACTCCCCACGTTTAAACTCTCTTCAAAATTGATATAACACAATAGCGTCGCAAAAATTTTTAATATTGCTTTGGGATTAATGTAACTACTATTAAACATTATAATATTGCATTTAATAAATATTTGATATATAGTATATTTTACCGTTAAAAATGATATTCAACTATGTTTTATATAAATATATAAACGCTGTATAAATATAAAACGAATATATAATTTTATATATTCTATATAAACGCTGAATAAAATGTTATTGAACTATCGTTTTTAATGTATCATAGGTAACGATTAGTATATCGTATATTGTATTTATAATATATTATGCTCATGTAAAAGCAAAGTATTACAATATAATGAAAAGTGAAAATGAAACTTTAAGTGAAAGTAATTATTAAATATTATTATTAAATAATTAATTAAATATTATTATTAAATAATTAATTAAATATTATTATTAAATATGTAAATTTGTTACACAATTTTTCTTTAAAATTTGGAATTTATTATAAAATTTTTTAGATAATTAACTTATTCTTTAATATTTCAATTAATTAAATATTTGTTTTAAATGCGTAACCAGCAGTACATCATAGATACCAATAAATAAATATTTAAACATTCTTAATTCTTTGCTTTTAAATGTCAATATTTAACTCATGTGTAGAAATGAAATAAATATACATCAATTCATTTATATAGCTATATAATATTTTATAAAGACACAAATAAATAAAGAATTATATATTTATTTATATATATATATAATTTATATTCTTCCAATAATTCTCTAAAAGTTAATGTAAAATGACGTTTATTATTTACTATTTTATCCTGCCTCATATGAATTCACCCATATAAAGCTGTTCATAATGGAATAAATATATATATTATATTTATAGTAAGTATTAACGTCTACGGCTTTTTCTATTGCGATAAGTTTTAATATCTTACTATTAATCTTACTATTAAACGTAATTATAATTATAATTATGACTATAACTGTATTGAGCAGTAAACAATAAAAATAGAATAAAAATTTTATATGAAAATATCAGTATTGAGTGTATATTATTGTAAATTAATTCATTAAGTCGTGTAATATAATATAATAATAGGCTTTTTCTTACAAATAGAATCAATAACAAGATGCAAAACTGAAAAATAATGGTACAGATATTATTATTTATAAATAAAAAGAAAAAGAAAAAAAATAGCTGTTAATTATTAATAATAATTTATCATACATTTTTTAAAATTTTCATTAACGATATTTTATTTTTTTAGAACTAGAAGTACGTATAAATAAATTCAACAATTTAATAAAAACTATAAACATATGAAGATGTGGAATATAATATTTTAAGTAATACTTTA